CCCCCCCCCCCCCCGTCCCTCTTTAGTATTAAATGCATTTATACTTCCACCAATGTTGGTAGCATTGGACCTCAATTAAATTGGGTTGCTCATTTGATTGAGAACATCCATATCTTCTATCATAACAGTGTTCAACACCATATTTAGCCCCTATTTGGTGTTGATTAAAATCAAATTTTTAGTAAATTTTAATAAAAGTTAATGAAACGTGTGGTTGAAAAATGGTAAGTCCCATAAAATATATGATTAAAATTAATTGTTGACTTTAACTAAGATTTTTATCTAAATTCTAATCCACACCAAACACTGGCTTATAATTATAATTAAGAAAATGGTATCAACAAACCTCCCCCACACTAGTCCTGCCCTCCTGACTACTGTAATGAAGAAAAAGTATAAAAGAAACTTATGACATTACACAACAATGATGACTCACCCTGCTATTACCCTAATCAGGTATTGAGAAGCAAAACTGAACATGAGAAAGCAGCAGGCATTATCAGCAGCAATCAGCAACTGAATTATGCTTTTTCTAAAACAAATTAACTTCCACAAGGATCTTTCTATTTCAGACAACGTTTCATATCTCAATCTACGAACGGAAAGAAAATGTAAGGAGGAATTTCTTCAAGAGTCACTTTGCTAAAGTTCCAAGCCAATTTTCATCTTCACCATGGCCTTGAGTCGAACCATTTAGATAGTGAAGTTCATTTTCCCAGTATAAGCAATTAGTGAAGTTCACTTATCATCATGCACTGACACCACTTTTTATACTGAGATGCTTCAGAATAGAATTCATACTCTCCTGTTAGAAGCAAGCCTCATTGGGTAAATTACATTCCACGTCATTTTACGGTTGTGTAGCAAGTGGAACTTGCATCTGCCATTCATTCCTTTTCGGACGATTTTAAACTGATGTTGCAGGTTGGAATGTTGTTATTTTTTGCTGAAAAATGACAACATTGTAGGTGACACATCATGCTCTTTGGGTTTGCCATGTGTAATTGTATAATCAGTTGGGCTTCCTAAATTTTTAACTAACCAGAGTAACATGAGAGTTCATTTCTCCTCATGCTGAGATTCACAAAATAATCTTTTCTCTGAGTTTAATAATTTACTGGAAGGGGCCTTGATCTTTGTACACAATACTATTTTGCCCAAAAAAGTAACTTGTGGACTGAGGATAATCCCAAAATCCGTGTGCACTGATCTTTCTGAACAAATCAAATAGATTCTCTATTTCAAAAGCGCGTAGATGTACAGCAGCGTGATGAATCTAAGAATAAGGATATGAAATAAAGACCTTAAGAGGTACCTGTAGTTTGGCTAAACGAGACTGCATTGAACCAACAAATTGTTCGTGCTGTTCCATCAGGTCAGCGATAGCATTCTCCTCGCTAGCTGACACTGACTCATTTTCGCCTGTTGAATGATAGCCTCTCTGTCATTGTAGACATGAAGAAATACATGAGCGATTCATAATATGGAGTGTAAGGTAGAAAGTGCTAATACCTACTAAATTATATTACAGAAGCTAGAATTTAAACACTAAAAAAATTAAGAAATATCATTAGGGTGACTTGAAATGGCCTTGAAGAACTCTTAAAGCAATTATCATAGAACAGAAAGGACATGATTTTGAACATAAAGTCAGCTTACACATCTGCCGCCCGCATAAAGTTATAATACTAAAAAAAGGGGGGGAAATCACAAAGCATTATGGGGAATACAATTCATAGATAATGTAGTTAATTAATTTTTGAGGGGGAAAAAAAAAGGAGGAAGAAGAAGCAAAACTGCCAATCAGCTCCCAACTAAAATTCAAGGAAAAAATGATCTCCATTAAATCTTGTCAGGAAGGCGCAAAACTAAATCAACAAGCCACAAAAGTCTAAGCAAAATCTCCCTTTCCTCCTTTCAACAATGACTACAGATAGCATTCATCTGCTTACCCCAATTCCCATTTCAAATTTTTCTATTCCTAAAAAATTTCTCGTCCCCTCTCTCTCCTGCAGATTTTACACATTAGACATGCAACAAATGCTTCAGCTTCTTCCTCCCTACCTCTAAAAATGTTGCAGCTGTATATGTGGTCATGTCTTGAAAAGACCACATTTGTTCTAGAATTGAAGGTAAAAAAGAATATAACATAATTTGTCAAATTAATTATTTAAGCATAATTAAAGTAGGCACTTGAATGAACAACTCATTACTTTACCAGCCACATTAGAAATACTATTATGAAAATAGAAAAGAATAAAACCCAGAATCCATGTAACAAAGAGTTTACTTACAGAAGGTAAGTTTCGAGAGAGAGTGCTAGAAGCAAGAACTGCATGGTTAAATGTTATGTCTTTCTTCTCCCAATTTGCAGCAAGTCGTGTTCTACCTAAATTTGGTACAGAACAAATAGATGTGTTCATTCAAAAAAGGGTCATTAATTGCTTGCTAAAGTGTCTATTAGAAAAAGTAGTTATACCTCCTCTTTTACTTTCCATGAGATTGGTATCCCCATGCATGTTGTTGTTCCCACGAAATTCATCTGCAACCAAAAAGAAAACTGGTTAACAAAACAAATAGAGCAAACAATTTATACTCAAAGATATATAGGCAGACTATTAGTATTAGCAACCAAATCCAAAAAATTGATTGATTCCCACAAGAAATTCCATGTACTTGGGCCTGTGCCAAATAAGGCCTCATTGTAGCTTTGATGGTCCATAATAAAAACAGTTATATAATGAACCTTGACAAGGCTTTATGTGGCACCATCACCTCTGCACTTGACAAGATGTAACACATAATCACAAAGTGATTGGAAGGACAAGGCTGGATAAGATGTATCACATATTTATAACGTGGATCACACAAGGTGAAAGATGTGCTGAAAAGGAATACGTACAACTTTCACGAGGGCATGTAGCAAGAGCATCGACCGATGCATTTATTTCAACTTTTCCAGAAAGCATACGCTTATCATCCTTGGCATTTCTCTCAGCAGCAGGAACCCCAATAATTGAGCTCCTAACTTCAGTAAAGGTACTCCTATCCGAAACCTCACTAGAATCAATAGCCTTTGGGTCCTGACTTTCAGACAACGAAGAAATAGTAGACCTCTCCAAGTCATCTCTGACAGATGAAAATTTTCGATCATCAGATGTTTTTGACTGCATAGACAGTGGCAGTGTTCTTAGTGGAGCTCCTCCTTTTCTTTGTTCAGCAGCCTGCTCCATTCTCGGATTATTTCTAGGCACAAGCACAGGTATAACTTCTGATCTATTGAATACTGAAATATTGGGTGTTGACTGGACCTTCACAGGATGCCTCTTGGGGGCTGTCACATTGGAAACTGCCATTGAATTGACTTGAGTAGTTCTTGGAACAACACTGAGATTTCCCCTCTGTGGAGTTGCAGGGGCACATACAGCAGCTTCATGCAGCACATACAACATTAATACATCTTAAGAACCACATTAAGTAGAGAAGCAAAATGGACTGACAAAAGGATGAAATACTCGTATCATGCTGTTAAAGAAGTCTAAAAAAGAATAATCTGATAAGGAGGTCACAAAATTAACCACAAATCCTAAACAAGGAGACATCGTAAAGAATTACATGCAAGAGATTTAGAGTCCCTATTCAGATCTGAATTCTGTGAGACTGAAAGCCTTGCAAGAGGTCTAGTTTCCTTTGCAGAATCAGAATTATGTGAAATGGAAAGCCTGCCCAAGTTGCCCTTAATAGTGTTCTCAGTAAGTATTGTTGAACCACCAGAATTAGATTTAGGCTCTAAGTTGGCATTCAAACGAGCAGCACTACCAATTTCATATGGTTCAATACGCTGCCAAAATCATATGGTCACAAAATAATCATCAATTCAAATATCAAATAAGAAGAAGATTAAGAGCAGTAGACAATAGATACTGAAAAAGATTCATTTATACCGAGATGTCTACAACCCATACTCCAACACAACTTTGGTTATACGAACATCCAAGAAGCTTCCCTTCATGAACATTCAGATCTGATAATCTAGACCACCCCACATCTACAGTATCATGACATCTAATTGGTTCCCATGAAAAGACCTAAGATACACGATAGTAGAGAAAAAGTGAGACAAATGACAATACATAAATTTATTATTTCCTAATAAACATAAAGCATACAAAAGCATACTTTCAAATTCTCATGCAAGCCACAAAGAAGGGTCCTCCCGTCAGGATTAAAGGTCATACAACGCACACCTGTGGACTGGTTTGAAAACGAGTAAACAGTTTATTTCAAACTCATCAGATAATTAAGGAGTTTGATCAAACTTTAAAGGCAACACCAAAATTTTGGCCCATGATAAGCTGTAAAAAGCAAAGATTAGCGGGAAAGACATCGAGGACATCAAAGAACAGATACCTCAGGCCCAGCTGAACCTATTAGTTCAAATGTTTCAAGATCCCAGAACTTAACAGTCCTGTCAGCTGATCCTGCCAAAAGAAAGGCCACTAAATGTTTATTAGGAGATCAGCAAAGGCAACCTTAACTAGACCTAATTGAATGAATACATATACGGCAAAGTAAAGGTCTACAAACTAAATTAAGGCTTAGTTAGAAAAGCATCTTTTGCTACAACATATGGTGGGTGAAAGTTGATTCTCTATAGTTTTAAAGGAAAAAAGCAGGAAAAAAAGGACAATTGATTCTCAAACTCAATGTTATATAAGTTCAAGAGTGAGTTAAAACATGAAACCCTCAAGTTTCTGTATGTGCGTATATTTTACAACACTGAGTCAAAAAGTAACTATCTCAGATTTCCATGCGTAAGACTTTCAACCAGAACAGAAAACGAGTAGATAACCCAAACTAAGATTCTGATATGCAGCAACCATAAGGGTGACAAAAATTTACTTACTGTAGCAGACTTCAAAAACGGCGTGATTAAAGTTATAGAAATGAAAATCAATATGTGACTTCATGAGGGAAAACAAATGGATAAGGAAGTGAGTTTATATGAAACCATGATGTAGCTTTGAAAATGAATAACATAGAAACTTTCTGCATATCTATTTCCTCCCTTCACAAGTAAGGTAGAATCTTTTCAAAAGCTAGAAGTGGTAAGCCTCATTTTATATAATTCATAGTATCTTCATATTTAGCAACTTCTATGGTTCTATCCAATTTTACCTGAAACACATAAAGTCAAAATGCTTAATTGACAGTCTTAAGAGACTCAAGACAGAATTTTAACAACTCTTCTTGTAAAATACTCCAAAATTACAGTAAACAGGTTCAGGAGCATTTTACATCCTCCTAGCTATTTCTGCACTATTTATTGCAATCAAGAAACCCATGGGTTTGTAGGACTCTAGGCAGTAGGCATTAACGCCGTCTCACGTCTTATTCTATCCTCTTCCTATCATAGTTTTCATCTTTTGCAATAAGATACATATTCAACCAGCAGTATCTCACATTGAAAATCCCATTCTACACCAGTCCTATAAAAGGAACAGACCCTAAATATGGTTTTAAAGTACAGTATAATTGATGAGTTCAAAAGAATCAAAAAAGGGAAACTTCCAGATAAGTTTATGAAAATGCAATGTCATGCGTATAAAATTGACAAATTATTCCACTGCCTTTTAAATAGTGGTTTCAACTTCAACACTTGAAGAATGAAACTTACATATTTGGATACAATCTATACTGATAGCAATTGTTTGTAAGAAAAATATAAAATACTATAGATTTTTATTCAAAATCCTACAATTCCAAAATTACGCTTCAGTCTTGTCTTTGCATACTCTTAAATGGAAATGTTTATGATGTTTTGGTTGCAACGTAGCCACACCCCTACTAATAATACTACTGTTAAGGACCTTCAACCACCATTGTGATTTATCAAATTTTTAAGTTGAAAATATAAACCAGCAATACGACATGTACAGTTGCTGAAGCAGTAAATCAAAGAAGTTGGCAGACAGCATACTATTGCGAACATAAGTTTTGGAGACCTATAATACAATGACTATAGTTTTCCAACCTGTTGCCAGTAAAAACTCATGGGGATGGAAATCAATGCATTGAACCTGGCCCTCGTGACTTTTGAACTCATGCAACAGCTTGCCCGCAGTTAAATCCCACAGCTGTCATACAGGAATTTATATTGAGAAACGAAAACACAAGGAACAACAGGGCACAAATTCGTGTAAACCTCCAGTTATGATCACAAGGGCTGAAATTGTAAAAAGGCTTCATCTCAGAATTGAAGAAAAAGGGATACAAAATATAAATTAAGACCTTCAATAGGTAATTTTCTGAGACTTCAGTAGTATGCTAGCAAAAACAAGACATTTGACCAAGAGATAATGATTTACATGTGGAGAAGAGAGTACAAAAAATACACCAAGATGTATAGCAATGAACGTATTGAAGTTCACCTTTCTCTTCTAGATAAATCAAAGGCAGAAGGATGAGAAAACCAAAAGGAAAAAGAACACCAAGAAATTGAAAGATATGACCTTCACGGTGTTGTCCTCTCCACCAGACACCACCCAGCGGCCATCGGGTGTAAATCTGATGGCATTAACACCCCGTGTATGACCCTTGTATGTATGTATGCACCCTTTTCTTCGAATATCCCATATTTTTAGATTTGTGTCCAGAGATCCAGATGCAAAGAACTCCCCAAAGGGATGGAAGTCCAACGATATACAATTGGAGCGGTGACCAGTGAGAGTGCGAATAACTATCAATCACACAAAAAGCAAAGTCAAACACACAGTGATTTTCCTCTCTTTGAAATGTTAAAATACAATCCATCATGCATATATAAGTGGGTTACAGAATGCATACTCTTAGCCTCCTCTAAGTCCCAAAGCTTAATGGTCCCACTCGCTGCTCCAGCAGCTACCAACACCTCAGAAGAATCAAAGCTTACGGAATCAACTCCACTTGAATGACCCGACAAACTCTAGGCAGTGAACCACGGGTACAATAACCAATGAGAAATGATAAGGGGCAAGGTGTCATTATCAATAATGCTTCTATAAATACTGTGATAGCCAAGAAAAAGGAAAAAAATAGTTGAATTATGTGAAACAAGAAACTATCAGATACGGTAATCCATAGTTTCAGAACAACGCATGTTTCTCTTAAGGTGTAAAAAAGGTGATGCAGGTATTATAAAGGACATAAATCATCTACGGGGCTATCATACTGCCTGCAAGTAGTCAAAGTCTGCATCTTATAGATAGGGGTTGGGAAGGGCAAGGGTCTGCACCCTGTTGTGCAGGTTGTAGAACCCAAAAAAAGTACAGTTTAATATACGAAGGTTGAATAAGGGTATAAGAAAATATGAAGGCCCCAAAAAGAAAAAGGCAAAGTGCGAATTGAACTAACCAGTAGGGCATTGGGCTTGCCAATGGCCCAAAGGTTGACCTTATGATCTTCTCCTCCAGTCACAAGAACCCTTGATGATTTCCTCCCAATCTTTAAGCAATTCACACTTAAAGAATGAGCTACAAATTCCTCTGAATATACCATTAAGGCTACCAACTAATACTTGAACTACACAGTTTAACGTATTTATTGTATGTGCAATGTTTCACAGCTGAGGCCAGCAAAACCAGAAGCTTCACATGATTCCCTTGTTTCTCAGTCAAAATTGTGATGCTCTTATTGAAGGGCGCCCTAGCTAAGTTTACCAATGGTTTGACTCCATAAGTTTTATGCTTGTCTACCCAAAACCATGCAGCAACATTCCAGTTAAATTTATTCGCAGTTGAAAACAGTCATGTTCATGGGCTCTTCGTTAGCCATTTTTCAATATCAATTCTTACTTCTTCCCAAACTTCTATCCAATCAATTTCAAAAACGTAATCACAAAAGCATAAGAAAGAAAACCTCAATAAAATAGGAAAAAGAAATATCCACTTAGGTATTTACTCATTTCATAAAATTAATTCCTAAGCACATAAAACCCTAGCTCTTCCACTCAGGTACACTACGTCACATTACCAAGAGAAGTCTTTGGTAATATAAAAGATGTCAACCGAAACATGTAGTCCAAGTAGAACAAGAGCTGCCTTAACATCAATAATGATAAAATTAATAATTGAAAACAGAATAATGTAATCGAGACCATAATTTTTGTCCCTCTAGATCCAATCAAATTCATCGCAGTTTCATTTCTCGATTAGAATTTAGTATTTGAAAAAAAAAAAAGAAGAAAAAAAAACAAAGGATACGTAGCTTGTAAGCACGTTTGGTGGTGGTCGACATTTTGCAGGTCTGGAAAATCGGTCGGGAGGGAGGGATGCAAGCGGCAAAAAGCCCTAGCAAAACCTCCAGGTCAGCAGAAATGGACACGATGCCGTAATGCTGTGTTGGCTCATTTCAGATCTCAAAAGGTACTTCCCCGCACTTGCACAGATTTGAAATTTACACTATTACTAACTCACATCATATCACGAGAGTATAAATATACTGTGAATAAATAAGCCCAATCAGTATCAAATCTGTCTCTTTTCTTCAATTTTTACACGATATGGTAGCAGAAAATTATGAATTTTTGAAAACAATAAAAAATAATAATAATAATAAACAAGAAGAGAGAGAGAGAGAGAGAGAGAGAGAGAGGTTGGAGGAGGGTGGAAGAAGAAGAGAGATTGTTTTCAAGATCCCTGCTTCATTATCAGAGGAGACAACAATAAATATCTTAAAACTTCAAAAGATGTACTGTATTATTCATTTCAAAGAACAATCCGCAATTATTAGAATTTTTTCTTAAATGCTACATTTTCATTTTTCTTAGGGAAAATTGCTGCATTAGCCACTACATTTCACGCACCAAAATCGTAAGCCCCTATTTGGTACACGATTCTTCAAGTCTATCATATAAAAGTTCACATCAAATAGGTCCTATGAATTTGCGTAAAATTAATGCGTGTTGAAAAGGACAAATTCGTCGCGCTACCTATAGGGGCGGACGGGAGGTTCCTGTAGGGTCAATTGACCCCCCAGCTTCTTCCATTTTTTTTGCTTTTTTTTTCCTTCCCTTTTTTTAGAATGTTGAAGTTTAAAATCTACATTATAAATATATTATCCAACCGACAACTTAAAATTCAACTTTGTGCTTTTATTCCCCTCTCCTAATCTGTCGACTACGAATTATCATTATCATTTACGATTTACCTATCGTTTGAAAGTTTGATTGTGACCCTCCAACCCAAAGTATCTAGATCTGCCCCAGGCTACCTATATCATTTTTTCTTCCTTTTTTCATGTCGGATTTTAGTATTAAACCTTTCCAACTTGAAATATCTTATATCCCTAATTTTATACTTAAAATGTCTAATTGAGACATTGCATCATACTTAAGAGTATATCTTTATTCGTGCAATTGCTAGAATAATTAGTAGGGTTAGTGCCGTTTAAAAAATTTGGAGATCAATAAGTTTGAATATATATAAGCAGCATGTTTGAGTTTTTCAGACCCAAAGTTTCATGTTAAATTGTTAATGATTATCATAGGCTTGTATAAGTTGGAAAGTGACGTTCAAAATTATTTTTGCAAATTTTCGAAAGTTTTGGACCAATTCACAATTTTACTATAAGAGTAAATTTGTTGAATATATTGAGTTTGTTTGAGCCCATTTTTTGGGATAATAGATTTTTCAATAGGGATTTTTCGGATAACTTGTATTTAAGTAGGATTTTTTTTTAATTTTACACATAAAATTATTTTATTAAGAAAATATATGATTAAATATAAGTTTGGCAAATAATCAACGTTATAGAATGGGGTTCAAAGATAGGTATTACAGCATCTTCAATAATTGTGTAAAATAGAGTATAAATTGATATCTTCAAAATCACTTTTGCATCATCCCAGTGAATCTAAACCAAATTATGATTTAATTGAAATATCTAAATCCACATTTTGTCTTTTGTGGAGGTAAAAAACGAACAAAAAATTATAATTTTACATCTTTTTTATATTTTCTGTCAAAAAAATGCGATTTGCATCTCCTTTATATTTTTTCATTGGAGATGTTTTTCGTTCGCTCCATAAATCTAAATCTCTATTTAACACAATGATAGTTAAAATAACTATTGGGCTTTGCAGATTTATTTGAGTTTAAAATAGTTAATTGGGTCAAAGGGAAAAAAATGGTTCATTATCTGTAGAACTTTAAGTTGAGGAAATTACATGAAACCCGTGTATTTTAATTTAACATTTCAAAAATCATGGTTCAAATAAAATTCTTTCAAAAGTCAAGTATCGATACAAAATTACCCTATCCAACACCACATTACCCCATCCCAAACAACCCAAAAACATACAAGAACGAGACCCTACCCAACATCATCCCACCCCTGCACAACCCGAACTTTACGTATCTCTCTCTTTGCCAACTCCAGTTGACATAATCAACTCTGACCACCTCGAGGACGACCGCACCCATTGTTGACTGCAACATCTAGAAGGTGTCCAATTTTTACCTTGTTCTTCACCTCCGTTGCAATGCCAAGAAGGTGAGGTAGACGAAAGAACTTGTTGTCTGCCCTCCTTCTTGTTCATCTAGTGGTCAACGCTGCAATGAACATCATTTTAGATGCAGCGCGCATCGCTCGGTGACCATTCTACTTATCCATAGCCATGTTCTCTTGTACGGATGCCAACCAATTATTAACTGAAATTATTTTAATTATTAATTTGACAAGTTTGTTAATTTTGAATTGTAATTCTTGTATGTATGAGTTGTATATTATTCCTTACAAACCTTGTAATACTTAGATCGAGCCCACTCTCTTCACTCTAGGAACAACTTTTTTTCCTGAATCTGCTTGAATCATATTTGATAAATCTTTTTTAGATTATAAATAATGAATTCTATGACATGTAGATATATGAATAGCAAATTTTGATAATTTATAAACTTAAAAACTGATACGTGTGAGTGAGAAATACGAATAGCAAATTTTGATAATTTCGAAGATGGAAAGTTAGATATTTACTAATCAATCTAATCCTAGCATAAGGGGTTTGTTTGACAAAGATTTTGTTAAAAAAATAAAAAAATAATAAATAATAATAAATAAATAAATAAATAAATAAATAAA